GTGATCCTCCAAGGGATTCTGGTACGGTTCGTCCTCTGCTGCGTCCTCTGGAGTTTGTTTAAAAGCGTCTTCAGTATCTGTTTTAAGTGGAGAAGGCTCACCCCCCTCATCCTGGTCCTCTGCAGACGACTTGACCAATGGCATGCCAGTTTCAGGTTCAGTGATGCAGTCGTGTAGAGGGATCCCTAGTATACGTTCTGCACGCGCCTCTAAGGTTTCTCTTTCAGAAACATGAGATGACAGTAAGCAAGGCAAAGAGATTAAACTTTCTTGTTTGCCTTCCTCTTCCTCCAAAAGTGTTGAGTCCACATCGGTCTCGGGTTTTTCAATCTTGCAGGAGGAGGCTTCTTCTGTGCTTTCATCAGTTGTGACATCTTGATTTAGCTGAAAGTTTAGTTCAGGAGAAATATTCACTTGAGCATCAAGCTGACTCTCTTCAGCGAGTGCTGCAGTGCTTAAAAAGTGAACCCGCTCTTTTGTAGGCGAAGGAATCTGTTCCATTTTCACAACAACGCAGGTTGTGTCGACAACCAGCATGCTTTTAATGTCCTCAGCATTCTCCTGGTTGTCCAGCTGCATTACTTCAGTATCTACTGGAGGACTGCTTACATTAACACAATCGTCTGACAGTTTATCCTCACGGTTTCCTTTCAAACAGCATGTGGGGGGACTCTCAGTTTCAGCTTTGCTTGTGAAACTAGGCTCCCTCCATGAAGGATATTTTATTGACACCGGCTGCACTGACTGACCTCCCTGTCTGCAGACATCATTTGCATTTTCTTTTTGGGGGGGAACAACATCGGCCTGTGCTTTCTTTGCTTGATTATTTTCAACCATGTCCTTCTCTGTGCAGGGTGGCGTCTCCCTCTGTTTCCTTCCAGCACCGTTGTCTGACTGCTCTGTGAGAGTTGGCGATTTGAAGTCCACTTCGTCTGGAAGTTTTTGAGTAGCCTCAGTCGTGGCTCCCAGAAGTTTAGAAGCCTCTCTTACATCTGTGTGTTCAATGTTCATTTTGGAGGTGCAAACTGGCAGAGATGGGGTCTCGGTGGGGCCGGCTATTCGAGAAACCAAACAGAATATTGTCATCCCTCCTGTCTTTTTGCTTAGCCTGAATTTCCTTCCTTCTATGACCTTTGAGGAGGTTTCCCTGTTTATTTCTGAATTCTGAAACACTTGTGGATGTTGCAGATGCAGTGTGCCATCATCCTGTATGAGTGTCTGCTGGACACTGATGGGGCAAACCGCCTGTAAAGCATCTGCTTCAAATCTTTGGCGTTTCAATCCTTCAAACTTTGGGCAGGTTTTACTTTCACACAAATTTGTCAGTTCTTCTTTTTCTCCCTTGCTCTTATCTTGCAGCTCTGCAGACACATGCTGCTTTCTGCGTGTGGGCTGCGAGTAGCAGTGTTGCTTCTTGGTGTCCTGCTCCCAGACCGTGTCACTGCTGTGTGTCACAGGTGAAGGTTTATGTGGGCTGTTGTAGGGAGGAGGAGCAATATAGCCAGGAGGTTGGTTATATATCTTCCTTTGGTAGCTTGCATTTTCCTTCATGTCCAGCACGTTGCTTGCGTCAGGAGCAGGAGCTTGTGATGGATAGTAGGTGGGAGTTTGCTGTCTGCCTCCTCTGTCCCACATTCCAGGTTGTTTGACATGTTGGGGATCCAAACCTATCCTGGTGCTCTCCACCAGCCCCTGAGAGGCTCCCCTTAATTCTGCTTCTATACGCCTTCTTCTTGGCAGGGAGTGACTGTAGCGAGCCGCCCAGGCCTCCAGCTCTCGATAGCTGCTGTCGCTCCTCTTGGTAGAAACTTCTCTGTTGTAGCGGACAGGGCTACAGGTGTCCCACCTCCTCTGCCACCCCTCCCTTAGAAATCCTCTCTCATGATCCCTCACGGGTCGATGGGTTGCTTTCCACTCTCTGTCTCTGGCTTCTTGGAGCTGGTACTCTCCCAGATCTTGGTGGTGCTGAGTGTGGCGTCGCAGAATGAAAGGGAAATGGGAAGAAGGAGGAGGGGCACTGAGCTCTGGGTCTGTCCAGTTGGTGTACTCTTGTAGAGCTCCTGCTGATCTTGATCCTGGTACAGTCCAGTATGTGGACTCCCTGCTTTGATCCTGCTGCTCACCATAGTACAGTGGATAATGGGTTGGCTGATGTCTGTCGTGATAGCTGGGAGTAGAATAGTAGAGAAATGATAGCAAAATTTAGCAAGATTACATAATTTCACAGACCATTTTAAATTAGTCTACATGGTTACATTTAATAGATAACACAAAACGTTCTGCAGGATTATGTGGAACAATATTCCCATCTTTTCAGAGCTTTTTGCAGAGTGTCAGAGGTAGTGGAGAGCTGGATAATCTTGGAGAGAGCAGGCAAAGCAAATACTTTGTGTCAGCCGGAAGTTAACTATCATTTTTGTGCACCTCAAATGTAAACTTGCCAAACAAGCAGTGATAAATGCAAAGATTATACTGGCCCAAGCAATTTTCATAGCATCCAACTCACTTCTGTGTATAGTTTCTCCCAGGAATGGTACCATATTTGGAGTACAGATTGGACTGCCCCTGATTCTCAGGCCAGAACTCCATCATTTGGTCTCATCCACAGATCTGAAGCATGAAACTTAAAAAACAAAAAACAACTTAAAAATGCATTTACTTAGATCGCCTTAAATGAAAGGATTTAAAAGCATGTAAACACGTACCTCCAGCTACTGTTTTGAAATTCTTGTCCTGGCTGCTCATGAGTGACACAAGGTCTAATGAAGTCCAAACAGGACAACTTGTTTTAAGAGGACAGTGGTTTCCAGCACCCCCTCCCACTCTTCTACCCCACACACACACACACACACACACACACACACACACACACACACACACACACACACACACACACACACACACACACACACACACACACACACACCATTGCCACTGAAAGCCCGTCCTCTTTTCATCCAGCCAACACACAGTTTAAATACCACTGAGGAAGTTTTTAATCAGCTGCTTTAGAAGAACTAGAATCTCTGGCTCAATCATTTTCTCTCTAAACTCACTCAAATTTAAAGGGAAGGCAAAGTGTGCGTCACAATTTTCAAAAGTGTCTTTAATTAACATGTATTTGGGTGTAAAGCTTGTAAAATTTAATGCTATTGCTTCTCAAATTGAATACAAGCATCAGGTTAAAATACTTTTAATATTATTTTTACCTTATTAACAGTGACTGACTGACAACAGCCAGTGCTGACATATAGTGGCTTCATCTACTTTTAATGAAAAATGAGGTGGACAATAACGTTCCCATGGACTAATTCAGATCTTATGCAGATCGCACATTTTCTTATGTGTCTCTACATCATCACTTCCTTGCAGCACGCAGGTTTCTTGCAACAGTCAATATCAACCAAACCCAGCTATGTGCACAGTCGCGTGGGAGGTGTTGGGGCGTGAGGGCGAGCAGACTCTGCATGGAGATAGGGATCTGTTGTTTTGTCGGCTGAATTGTGGCACAGAGAGGGACGGGCAGCCGTTCGGCCGTCTCCCTTTTATTGAAACTCTCCAGCGTAACAAACAGGCTTTCCTTTCCTGAACAGAAAATCTGTACATCAGCAGAGTGCAGCAGAGAGGGGATGAAAGACGGGCAGACAGCAGGCTGCGGGAAGGGCGGGCTTTAACAGAATAGCTTGGAGTGAGATTTATTTTGGATTCAATAAAACCAATGTTCTATTTATTGTCAACAATCATATGTCACATGGTGAATGTTTCCATGCCCAGTTAAGACCTTCTTTATTGCAACAAAATTATACAGAAAACATGTTAATAGTAATTAAAATGACAGTAAGATACCAACAACATCCTGTCCATCCCTTCATGACAGTGTACCCATCATGCGTTATGTCACAAAACTCAAATAATCTCAAACTGGTTTCCTTAACATGATAAACAATTCAATGTATTCAAATAACTGCCAAGGTCTCCAGACCTCAATCTAATAGAGAGGCTTTCGGATGTGGTGGAATTGGAAATTCACATCATGGAGGCCAACAAATCTGCAGCCACTGTGTGATGCTATCATGTTAATGTGGACCCAAATCTCTGAGGACTGTTTCCAGCACCCTGTTCGTAAAACAAAAGGGGGTCCAAGTCAGTACTAGTAAGATATACCTAATGAAGGGGGAGTGAAAGTAGGTTTTCATGAACAGATGTTGCTTTTGGAGATTTTATGGTATATGAAAGATTTTTTTATCCACTGCACTGGGAGAGAGGGATGTGATAGCTGGTTTAAAGTTTTTTTAACTTTTCTGTTATAACCATACAGAATATTCATGACTAAATCAGCAACTATTAAAATTAAAGGTGTGATAAAAATCTAAACTTAACGACAATTTAACCATTTAATACATACATTCAAACTTTTAATTACCAAAATGTCTCAAGGAAAGAATTACTCTGGCAGAAGATATTAATTCATGTCAAAATCAATAATAGTAAGCACTCTATAAACAAACATGGTTTTCAGGGCTTTTAAATCTGTGACTGTTTTCAAGGTAAAGATGCTGCTGTGCACCCTGTACTGACAACATGAGAGATCAAAGTGTTTTCCAACCAGAGGATAATCAGAAATATTGAAAACAAATACGAATTTTTGAAAAAACAGTTCTGGAAACGCACCTTCAAGCTCATCTTGGTGATGCGTGACGCCTGCAGTGGGTAAAGGTTAAAAAGAAGAACTGTAACTTTAGACCTGATCTTCATCTCACGGTAAACATGGTGAAAACACTTTAGTCCAATGACTGAATTTCCAATCAGACAAAACTCATGGCTGATTTATATAAAATCATGCTGTTTTGTCTTATAAAATGCATTCATAGTGTGTGTATGTTTGTGCTTGTATGTCATTAAAGTTCTGAAGTTCATTTTCTTCCCAAATCTCAAAAATCACAGGACACATTCTGAATACATTCGCTTTTAATTAAAGACAAATGACATGTGTAACTGTTTAGAGATAAATAAAAATAATATGATTACATTTAAATTCATTTAAAATAGCTTTAGCTTTTATAGGTTCTACAGTTAGTGGGATGTGAAACTCAAAATAATTTAAATAACAGACAAACTCATAATTTTATTTATTTATAAAAAAGCAGTAGGCCGTCCCTCCTGTCGTCACTGGCCTGTTCTTAAAGACGCCCTGTAGATATTATTGTTTTGTTTGTCGTCTCGGTGCACAAGCTCCACATTGAATCTGCTCGGTAGATGCTTCTCATAGAAAGCTGCCGTTTCGTGCTCATCTCGCATTTTGGATGAGAGATACGCTGCGGCTCCTTTACCACACAGGTGAGCTAGTGTCTCCACTAGTGGGAGGTATGTCTCTGGCAGGTAAATGATATCAGCACAGAGCACCAAGTCCCAGTCAGAGGAGAAGTTCATGTGATCCTCACCCCAGGACAGAGGGAGGACAGTGGGAGGGAGAGAAGGCCACCCGCTGGAAGGCTTGTTAGCAGAGACATTAGCATCAAGCTGTGGAAGAGCCAAAGGAAGGTCTGTGAGAGTCACCTCTGCTCCTGAAAGAAGAGGGATGAAAGCCTGATCCCACATGCTGCTGATCAAAGTCTTAAATTAAGATCAGAAGAAATTAAAAACATGAGCATGTGAAATAACAGACATGGAACAAACAACAAACTAATTGTTTGTTTTCTGTAGTCAGTTTTCTGACTACAAATTAAAAGCTACTGATGTGTAGCTGTAATCAAAACACTGCCTGCCCCCCAAAAGAGTAATGACTTGGATTTAACTAAGCTAAGAGATAGATAAGGAGCCTTCCTTTGGAGCATTATTTCTGTGATTAATATGGGCTTGCAAGAGGGTATTTAACCTTAACTGATAAGTGGGTTCTGAGTTTAAATAGAGATCACTTACACATTTGGTGAAATTTCATAACTATGTTTAATAGTTAAAGTAAAAGCATTTCTATCCGCACAATGGAGCAACTGAAAAGGGTCATGTGGTCTGATGAGTCCAGATTTGATGGCTGCAACATAATAAGAAGACAGGTGGATAAGGTGGTGCATCAACAGGCCTAGTGTCTACTGTACCAGCCAGTTTTGACAGTGTTATGATCAGGTGTTTGCTTCACTTGATCAGGATTATATTGAGTGAAAAATTAGATGAGTTGACCAGCTAAATATACTTAATGACCAGGTTTTTTTCTTCAAGGGCAAGGGCATATTCCAAGAAGACTGTATGGGCTCAGACTGTGGAAAAGTGGTGCAGGAAGCAGGAAAGATGTTTTCACAGATTCATTTACCCCTTTCAGAATGCTTTGAATAATAACAACGTGGGCATTAAAGTTAGAGGTGACCCAAAGAAGTACTGTGTGACTTTTTATTTATTGGGCTAGGAGTTTATTTTATTTGTTTTGTTTTAATTTCCCACCAAACAATGCTTTAAAAAAATATTTATTAGAATAGCATTGCCTCTTATTGTCGGTATAGAACGAAACTGAGGGAAAACAACCTTTCACACTGCCGAAACCCGGGATCGAACCAGGGACCTTTAGATCTTCAGTCTAACGCTCTCCCAACTGAGCTATTTCGGCGACAACATCGCTGCAGGCAGGAGTTGTTATGGATTCAATCATGTTTTACACAGCAGAAAACGCTATATCTATTTATATACACAAAAAATAAACACATGAGTAAGTGAACTTGATAGTGAACACCATGTGGTTCAGAAGCAGCTGCACATGTGTGGGGGTATAATGTGACACTGAGCCACAGGAGAATCCCACTCAGAGACACATTAGTTAGTAGTTAGTTTGTATTTAATATTAGTTACACGAGTTATTTTACAAACTCCAAATTTACCCAAGCGAGCTGCCACAATACCGACCACACCGGTGCCTGCTCCGAGCTCTATGAGCCGCTTTCCCCTCAGCTCCACAGACTGATCCTCCAAGTAACGGCATAGGTGTAACGCCTGCGTGTGTACACAGACACACACATAGATTTCATCACTGCACAAAGCCCAGGTTTACGAAGATCATCTAAATAAAGTGAGTGCCTGTCTGCTCCTTACAGCCTCCCAGACCGGTGCAGCCACGCCGAGGTCCGCACCGAACAGCTGTCTGATCTTCACCTCCTCTCCCATCAGCGTGTACACGGACTCCAGAGAAAACGTTTCCGTGAACAGACAGTCATCTACAGGAAACGGGTCGTCTTCGTCCTCGGTGTGAGACATGTTTATTGGCGCTAAAGTCTATTATTGTTGGTAAGAAAACCGGATGTTCTCGATGCGGGAGGGCAGCTGCTTTTAACTTCCGGTCAAGTAATAACGTTATAGCGAATGTTTTGTTTTTGTCATAGACACCATAAAAATGTTGTTAAAATGTTTTAGTATTAATGTTAAATATTTTAAAATAAAATATTTATTTTATTTACTTCTTCTCATTTTTTATTTATCGCAACAGAAAAATAAAAAACATAAAATTCGTAACTTCACAAAAAAACCCACAAGAAAACTAAAGTGTTTTTTTCATGTTGTATCAAGCTAGTAGTACTATAGATGTAAGACTACGAGAGGCTTTTACTTTGAAATGTAACACGCATATGCCAAAAGAGGTGCACATCAGAGATTGCGGTCTGAAATGCAGCGGGTATAAAACAATCTTAAATATATTCAAATTATACATTATTTTTGCTTTTAAATAGTGAATTAATACTTATTATTTTATCAGATATTTCATTATTTTCATTTTTATACTTCTACATGTCAGCTTGTTGATATTGTTAAAGGAAAATAAATGTTGTTGACAGTATCATGACTGGATAATACACTACAGGATTGTTTCTTTGTTTGTTAGTTTGTTTCCTTCTCATCACGAAAAATCCTTTGGTCACTGGTCTCTAGTAAAGCTATGGCTGCATCCAGCAGTTATTTATATCATCAATTAATTCTTCTTCTTTCTTTTTTTTTTCTCTTTTTAAGGCTCAGCACAGCAGATCATCTGCCTCGATCTGACCCTATCCCTGCCATCCTTCTCTGTCACACCAACCCTCTGCATATCCTTCTTTGCCACATCCACAAATAGTGAATATTCTCTGTGGACTGTCATATCCACTGTATGAAAATCTTAACATCTTATTATATTTTGTTTTATTCAGCCACTATTCCGCATACGTTTATCCAAAACATTTTCTTTCCAAGTATCCAGGATATCAGTACACTGTGCCACGGACATTAAATTAAATACCAGCAAAAACCAGTGTTACCCCCCCCCCCCCAAACAGAACTAGGACATCAGTTTCAAAATCCTGTGTGGTATCTCAAGTTATTGCAGTCACATCTCCAGAAAGCTTGACCCCTGAACTCGAGATCTGAGCGGTTGGTTGAAGTTTTTAACAGAGTTTAGATGTTTTTCAGTCCTGAACATTACATGTGGCTCAAGAATGCAGTTAAAAAAATAATTTGAATATCACAAAATTTCAACCCATTCATGTGTACACTCCAGGAATTTAATAACATCCCACTAAACTGGTTTGTAAATAGAGTGGTGTAGTTTTACTTGTATGCAAATTACCACTGATATATTGCATCTCATCACCTTTTATTGAATATCAAAACCAACAAAAATGTCAACAAGCATAAGCACCATACACTGGTGAAGCGATAAAACTGCAGGGTAGTGTCCCCCCGATCTTCACTGATTATGGAAGTAAGTGTCTTCCTCATGGACAAGCACAAGCTCTGAAAATCATCCTGTGGGACCTCAGCCCACTTATCAGTCAGTGCCACCCGGAGATGCTCCTGAGTCTGTGGAGGAGGATTGCGATGTCTGTCTGTCATGCCATGCTTTCCATGGCGTTTATATCAGGGACTTATTGCCCTGCAACTTATCCATGACACTATACCAGTCAGGTTGTCATGGCATTCTTACAGAAGTTATTTTCTCCAAAGCTGCGGTGCCTTTTTCCAAGGTTGGTTGTGTTTGATAGAGGAATGTTAATTTTGGTTTCTCCCCCAAATTGTGTTTTGAGAGACAAGACTACTCACAGTAATGAGTCGGGGATGACCAAATCCCACATGTTGGGAATTATCCCCAAGCAAACCCTACATGCACATGGGAAAAGCTCTTCCAAAATCAAACTGAAAATAGAGTAGTGCATTATTAAATCCCTTGAGTGGGATTTTGGGCACCTGCAACTCTGGAATTTTAGTGTGAGGTCAAAATTTTCATGGCTTCATTAAATGCGCTAAAGTTTTAAAAAGAAAAAAAAATCGTGTTAGGTAGGTGATTTTTCATGGAACAGATGTTTAAATTAATAGTTTTTAGTGTAATGTGACCTTTGTTTGCAGTTAGTACCATTTGTGCAAGACGTGAACACACAGATACGCACCGACTCATGTTCCAGGTTTATTTTTTTAAAAATTAAGCTGCTGTCTCCTCACCCGTTTGGTTTCCAAAATCAATACTTAAGTAAAGTACCACTTGGACTTCTTCTTTTTTACATACAATTTCACATCAATGACAAAGATGATTTTACATGTAAAGTGTAGAGTTGAGTACATATATTTTAAAAAAGCGCTCCATTGTTTCAGCTCATCAGACAGCCAAATGAAATGTAATGTGTAAATCTGAACAAAGAAGAAACGGGGAGAAAAAAAAAAATCACAATGCGGTCTTCAAATGTCTCTTCATTGTGTTGTACTACATCCATTTCCTCAGTGGAGTGATTATTAACTGTTGTGCTCAGACTACACATACACTCTATTCAATTTACAGCAAACCTGACAGAAAACAAAAAAAAATCTCTGGGTTATATGAAGTTACTTGAAAATAAATAATTTGCTTATCATACAAATGACAGTAGTATTACATCCACGACACCCCGACCCATTCCTACCCCTCAGGGCTCAATATGTGCAAACTGCAAGGGTTTCTTAAAAAAAGGTAGCACTTTATGCAAAGACCATGGAGAACAAAAACGAGTGTTTTTAACATGAGCACTTCATTAGAGCGCAGCAAGTGTTCAACAGGTATGAAGTTAAAATGAAGTGGAGGAGATGTATGGCTGCATAAACCCTCCTCAGGCCAAACCGTGTGGTAACAAGGACCTTAGTATTATTATTCTAAAGTGAGGAATAAACTGATAAAAAACAGATGGTCCTTTGGTACTGAATGGCTGTTCTGATCTTAAATGGTACTGCCCTCATTTAAAAAAAAAAAAAAAAGTTCTCAAGTCTTTCACAGTAAAATACTGAGCTGGGATGTAAATATAATGCTAAGATGAAAATGTCCGGTTGAACAAACCTCTGTCAAAGTCACTTAGGAAAAATAGACACTGTTGATTGTTTTGTTTTTTTCATTCAAATCCGTCAAAAATAACAGAAAAAAACAAAACAAAAAAATCTAACTCTCCCATTAAAAAAACCCCCATCTCCACTAACCCACAGTGTCCCCACAAAGATTTCTTCTTAGCATTTCCCGGTTGGTGTGAAAGACGGTAGAATCAAGTCCAAGTCCACACAGTTGCACAACAAACACCCAGACAGAAAACAAAAACGGAGGAATGAGTGATTAGAACTTTGTTCCAAAAAGAATAATAATTAGAACAATGACTATGATGAAAAGGATCAAAATGACCAGCATCTTTCGGTTTTTCTTCTGATACTGTTCTGCCTGAAAAGAAAATAAGAATAATTTTACATAACACCATTCACTTTTAATGAATAAGTACAGATGGGGTCTTTTTACACCACAGGACAGAAAAAACATCTGGTCAACAGGCTCTAAAATTTCCTGAAACATTACATAACAAAACATCCAACAGCTTGTAGAACGACCTTGAGCAGCAACTTGGAAGTAATCGTTTTCTGTATGACTCTATCAGTGTCTCACATAGATGTGGATCAATTTTGCTTCACTTTTCTTTGCAACGTTGTTTCAGTTCTTTGAGATTAGCAAGCCTGTCTCTGCACAGCTCTCTTTCAGTCAGGCTGAGGTCTGGACTGTGATTGTGTCATTGCAATACCTTGATTAGGATCGCTGTCCTGTTGCATAACCCAGTATAGGGCTGTTCGATATAACAATATATAGCGGATGACGACATTTTCATTTTACGCTATCGTTTGTTTCATGGTGTCGCAAAATAAACGTTTACGGCAATATTTTTTCATGGTTTTGATGGTCACTGTAGTGGCTATATTAATTTCTTAAAGTTCTCTCTTTCTCTTATATTTAATATAACCACACTACGGACGGACAAGCGCCTGTTTTTATGCGTTGTCGTTAGCAACAACGACGGTAAAACCATCGCGTGTCCGCTGGTTTAGTTTCCACATAAACCTTTGACAATAAAGCTCAAGATCCTGTTGAGACTTTTCAAAATAAACTGAATCACGTGAAAGAGGATGCAGAGTATTTATGGATGAGAAGCAAAAAAGAGCCGTCAGGTGCTAAAAAATAAACCTTGGACTCACACGTTAGAACTGTTTTTTTCTCGCAGCACGCCGTGTAATAAATACTCACAAAGAAAACGGCGGCCGTTACAACTTATGTCTAAAAATATATAGTTTCATGCATCAGCTCAAACACTCAACTCCAGGTTGGACGATAGATGTCTTATATCGGGATATGAGATTTTGGTCTCATCGCACAGCCCTAACCCAGTATTAACCATACTTTAGCTGTTGGACAGATGACCTCACATTTGAGTCTAGAATACTTTGGCATACAGAAGAGTTCATGGTCAATTTAGTGCTTGCAAGGTGCCCAAATCCAGGACCTCTTCTCCATCGTGCTGACAGCTGGTATGAAGTGTTTGTGCCGATATGCTGTGTTTGTTTTTTGCCATTATGGTCAAACATCTCCACCTTAGTCTGTCCAAAAGAACACTGACCCTCATTTGCTAACACTGTGTATATCACACGCATGAATGTTTCAGGCACAAAACAATAGATTCATTTTTTTGTACTTTATAAATACATTTAGAAGTGCCTCTGAGCATGTGTATGAACAAATCACAGCTTGGCTTTCATAAGAAATTTAAACAAGTCTTTAAAATAATTTCTACTACTAATACCGCTACAAATAATTATAATACCTATTATTTCACTTTGGTCATTATTTACAGTTTTCATTCCATAAGCCAAAAAATGTTTTGAATTACTTAAAAAAATGAAATTGCCTGAAAAAAAAAAAACAAGACACTAAATAAAGAAATTTAGTGTTTACCTTTTGTAACTGTTTCAATCCGTCTTCTGTTTTAACACAAGCCTGCTCCACATTGAAGTCGATTCTATC